CATGGGATGAAATAAAATACTGCTGGTGCTTGTTTCTTCTGTTGTTTCCATTTCACTCACTACTTGACTAGCCAGATTTTTATTTAGGAAGTACCAAGATAGCAAGTGTGAACAAATATAGATTGTTCCCAACTTATAAAAAAGTTGTGTTCTAGAAATTCATTTATAATTCAGTTGTTTGTAATAAAAATGATTTTCTTATTAAAACCACTGTAAAAACTCAGGTGGCTGTGGTCCCCAAAGTAACCCAAAAGCAGAGGAAGTTTTCTGTAGGGTGTATGCATGTGTGTGTGTGTGCATGTGTGTTTGTATAGGCTCTCTGTGAGAGAGTAAAAAGGAGGTGGTAGGGGATATATATATCAGGAGGCTAAGATTCCCGAGTCAGCAACCAGGTAGTATAGTTGGCTCAGAATAGCTTGACAGCTTGGTTACTTTCTGAATGGAGCAAGAAGATTAGGGAGATAGAGTGACCTCACAATGGGAAAAACAGAAGCTGGTAGTGAATAAGTGAGAGTTTGTTAACACAGGGTGCTTATATTTTTGGTATTTGCAACTTTGAAAAGTTTGCAATTGTGTGTGTGTGTGTGTGATCAGAAGGGGCAATTCAGAAAGTACAAAGGATGATGTAAAAGAAAAATATTTCTTTTACAAATGGACTTAGACTAGCCAGAACATACTGGGATTCAATGATATGATTAAAAAAGGAAAGATTACTGCAATCATGTTTATTATTCCACACTATCCCTCTTTCTCCATATATTATTTCCTTTGCCTTCACCTACAATATACTCCTTTCATACTGCTACCTGCTTATCCCCACTCTTCATTTTATTGAGGAACTCAATTACACTGGGTCAATAGTCTCTATTCCATAAACATTCCACTTAATGAATCCAGGTATCTTAAGAAGGGGATGGGTTGACATGACTCATGAAAGGCAAAACTGAAATTTAATACTTTGCTTGTTTAATCATTTCACATTTATTGTCTTTGACACCCAATATGTCCAAACTCAGACGTAAAAGCTTTGGAAAATGTAGCCTATTACTTGTCCCTCTAAGTAGAAGATGGAATAAATTCAGACACAGCTGCCTTAGTTTTTTCAAACCTGTAAAACATGACAGAATACATCATATCCACACTTGTGTCATTGTAGCAAACATTTCTGGAATTAAAATGCCTCTTTAGTCAATTATTTAAGACTTACGATGTTGAGTGACAGTCTTAAAGTTCTGTTAATTTAGTCTCTGTCAATATTTGGAGTCAAGTTGATTTGGTGTGGTTTTCTCTATCCGCCTAGATATGATGCATCAGTGATCCTGTTGCTACATTTGAGGGGGCTGGGCCAAAGAACCTTGAGCCATCAGGGAAAATACATGATTCTGAAATTCCTACAAAAAAAGGTCATTGGCACAGATTTTCTGCAACAGAAGCAGTAACAAAGTGCTCTTTACCTTGAGCTTGGGGCAACTCGTTCTCCTTTGGATTGCTCACCTGGGTCGTTGTAGGTTTGTGGTTAGCTTAGAAAACTACACATGGTATAGATAAAGGGAGAAGACTGCATTCAATCTGAGACCTTGATCTTTTAGCAGATTAACAATTGTTTTCTCCCAAATTATTCAGAGAACAATAGGCAAATCACATTGTTAGCAGGAGGAACTTTTTGATTTGCTCAATATTATTGATTTAGTTACATTCAATTTTAGATCTTTTACTAATTCATTCCGAAAGGAGATTCCAACTTAGTTCACTCTATCTCAATTGAACACTTTCAGGACCCTATCTTATCTAAAAAGGAATCCAGCAATAAGACAGCATGGAAGCACTTTAGTATTATTAAGGAATATAATCAAATTGATATATAAAGGAGTGACTTTATGGAAAGATTTGGTGCACAGATAGCCTCAGTAAAGTATTTTAACAATTAACAGATCTTGAGCAAGTTGCCAGTATCTTTGGATAGGAGATGGTTTCGTTGTATCTTAAATTAAAAATCCCCAGAAAACATGTATTCCACTGTAACAAAACACAGTATATTCCTAAAAAGCTAGGAATGGAAAAACTGTTTATCTGTATGTAAATATATTTAATTAAGAAGCTATTAGATGGGACATTGCTTTGATTATCTGGAGTATGTGGGTACTATATTTACCTATCTACAGGTTGGGCTTAACTAAGACCTATTTAAATGACTATTAAGCAGAAGAATTAAACCTTTTCATGTATCCCCATGGCTATATGAGCAGGAAGGAAGTGATGCACTGGTCAGACAATTTTGAAATGAAAGTATGAAAACTTTTGGCCACTTCAGCCAATCTTCCCTTTGAAGACATGATACTGCAAATTTAGCCACTCCTGAACAAAGACTTATCTGTAGGCTTCCTGAAATATTCAAGATACTTATAAACAAAAGCATTTTTGTTGGTTAATTTTTGAAGCAATTGCTAGAGGTACTAATTTAAGAGACTTTGGTGAAAAAAGCATAACACATTTGATTGGTATGTTCAGGCATCTGTTGCTAGGAATGCCTATATAACTCCATATTTACAAAACTCTGGTTATAATAGACTGTACTATATGAACATTTTTCTTCAGTGTCACTAGTGAATCATCTTTGTTCTTTAAAAAAATCTACCATAAATCAGAAATGGCCATTTCTTTGAATGACCCTAATGCAAGTCTTCTCAAGTACATCAGAATCTGTCATGGACTTAAAATAACTAAATCCTTGAGTAAATTTTATTTATAAATAAAAGCTACTTTCACAATTTAAATTTAAGAAAGGTAGACTGACTATTAGTTCTATCTCTTATATGGAATTAAGTTGTTTCTGCAAAATTATAAATAACTTCTAGATAACTTATTAAATGACACTAGGCTCTTAGTAACACAGTTCTAACACCACTATCCATGGAAGTCAATGTGAACCTTTACTAGAAAAAAAAAAGATAATTTCAGGAATTATGACCTTGTTTGGTTATTTCTGAAAAGTGAAACACAAAATAATAATTCACACACATATTTCCAACTACTTTAATATATGGGTGACGTTGTTATCTGAACATCCAAAATGTTTCTAGCCATTCTGGAAACTCAGTGAGACACTATTTTATTTGTGTTCATATAACTTCTACCCTCAAATGGCCACTTGTTTTCCTATTAAGGTAAGTAGGCTGCAAGCACTTTAAAAGGCACTATGTTTTTCACTTAGGCACTATGTTTTTCACTATATTTTTTGAGACTGCTACATGGTTTAATTATTAAATGCCTGTTGAAGGAATGAATGAAGATGGTAAAATTGGCTTGATAATATGTTCTGATGTTGAGTTAGTTGTCTGGCTCACTTATGATTGGTGGAAAAGTTTTATTCCCTTTAAAGTGAGCTTCTCTCACTTCTTAAATTGTTTGAATGGAGAAAGTACCTCTGTTATCCCCATTGTAGTTGTTTGTGATGGAAATATGAACAAGGATGTAATAAACTAGGAAAATGTGGAAATACCAAAGCTCTAAGGGAAGGCAATCATCCATTCTTCCAGAAAAATGCTTTGCTAATGAAGGCATGCAAAATACAGTTTCCCAAGATATTGATGAATGCATTGTGAAGTCTGTCCATCTCCAATGAAAATAAAGTGGTTGCATATATTTCCATTATCTAGTCATGGTCAAAAGGCTGAAATGTATGTACCCAGGGCATAGTATTCATATGACTAGATATTCTATTAAGAGCTAATTTTTATTATTACATTTTTTGAGAATCAAATACCCTTCAGTTGAAAAATTTGGTTGTTTTTTTTGGGGAAAGTATCCTACTTTGCAGCTAGTTTTTATGTAAAATGAACATAATATGTTTTACATGCCACAACTTAGGAAACATAGCTCTTAGATAATATGATTTCAAATGCAAAATGTTAGCTATATTCCTTAACTAGTAAGCTAAAACTTATTATAACCATATTTTCATTCAGCCAGAAACACCAAAGCTATAAATTAAAACACATTTTAAATGCTTTCATACTACTGCAAAAGTTCACTTGTGAAAGACAACTGGAGAAAACATTTCTTTTTTCTAATGTTAAGGCTTGTCCCTTAGCAATATTATTTTTATTACTTATAATTGGCAACATTACCCTTAAGTTTATATAAGGAGAAGCTACAAAACCATACTAGGTAATTACAACTGTTTCCAGGGAGCTGTGGTCTCTTGGGAATATTGCAAAATTGTTCTCTATTAAAGTAAAAGCATTAAGGAAATACAAATGTTGCACTTTCATTTTGGTTATAAGAAAATATGCCTTACTTTAAATATGTACAGTTACATTCAATTACACATTCTAGTAGAAAACAAAGTAATTATTTCAAGTTGCACATTTATGCACTCAGATACTATAATCCAAATTAAATGTATTTGTTTATCATGTCTAATGAAGTATAACAAGGCTAAAATTCAATGCATACCAACTTAATTATGTCTCAATGACAACATGTTGGTAAAGTTTCATCAAAAATAATACTATTTGTTGCTATCAAAAATAGTTTATCAAACACATAACAATCTTAGTTTTTGCATGCAATTCAGAGTGCTAGAAGAGACATTTAATAAAGACTCACTTAAAAATATAATTTTACTTATTTTCAGGAGAAACAAGATAAAGCAAATTTTAAGTCAAAAGTAGCAAAGATTTGGGTGTCTTTGCTCCCTAATATCGTGTCACCAAAGTAATTAAAATTCTACTTATTTAAGTGAAAGATTAGAATATCATGGCTATTTCTTACAGCCGTCTTCATAAAATGAGATTTTTGAGAGATAGTTGTTTTAAAATATCTTGATCCATGGTATTTAAGGTTTATTTAACTTGATTCTCTCTCTGCACATAGAGGGAAGGAACCAACACCAGGCCATGTATAGGTGAGAGGAGGTAGGTAAAATATCACTAGGTTGCCTGTGATTAGGTTTACATGTATGAGCTATGCAACCCTTGATAGAGTAGTAGACAAGCCAGTCACAGTACAATCAAGGCCATTTTGCTATTTGTCAGTTGTATAGCAGATGGGTCTTTCAAATGGAAAACCATGTTGCTGGCTACAGGGGTCAAAGAAGAAGTAATACTGGATACCTCGTCTCCTCTCTTCCACGGCTCGCATACCTAAATAAATTTAAAAAGGAACTTTTTGATCCTGTTCAATTACCTAACACTCTGAATTATAGGAAATGGAGAAGAAATTTAAAGTCTACACTTATATAAACTTACCTTAAAAAATTGATTCGCAGCACCTGATGATATAGCAAACTTCACAACATCTGGTAGTTCAGCTTCTACTATAATATCAAAACTAGGGAGCAAAATACTTGAATTGGAGTGGAAATTTAAACTGGCAAGATCCTTGATACCAATGGAATTCTGGACCCTAGAGAAATCTTTTAAAAAGCTACATTCCTTGGCATCAAGGACATCCTTGGACTCAGTGGCATGATGAAAACTAGCAGAGTCCATGGAGCCAGCAAAGACTTTGAGGCAGGCACTACATTTGTGTTCATCAAAAGTTGTATAATTTCTACCAAGCTTAGATGAATAATAAAACTTAGAGGTGGTCAGATTTTCAAGAGTTGAAGTGTAAATAGTGCCAGCAGCAAAAGTGGGAGAGTTACCATAAAAAATATTAGAAATAGAGGAATCAGCACCAATTTCCAATTCTGGCTCAGAGAGATTATTAATATTGCTAGTACTAGTAGAATTACGAACATTATGAGTACCTATGGCATCATAATTGGGGTTGATTACAGAGTTACAGTCAATGATATGAGTAAATCTAGGGTCATGGTTACTATCTGAGGCACAGTTGGTGCCAGCAGTATAGCTAGGGCTAACAGTACCACTATAACTAGTGGTGTTGCTGGTATCAGTGACATTGACAGTGTTAGATGTAGAGGTGGGTCTGGCAGCATAGCTGTTTCTGGCAATATAGTTGGGATTGACTACAAAGCTAGAACCTACTGCATGGGTAAATCCTGGGACATAGTCAAAGTCTGAGTCATAGTTTGAGATAGCTGCGTAGTTGCGGCCAGCAGCACTGGTGGGTTTTGTATCATAGTTGGAGTCAGTATCCTTGTTAGGACTAATAGCACTATTGTGATTAGTAGCATTACTAGGCCTGGAATTAAAGTTAGAGTCAGAGTCTTTCTTAAGGCTAGGGCTATTATGGTTGGAGCCAGGACTATTGTTGTTGGGGACAGGGCTATTGTTGGGGCCAAGGCCATTGATGTTGGGGCCAGAGTCGTTGGGACCTGGTCTGATATTTTGGGAGTCAGAGCCATTGTTTTGGAAGCCAGATACTTTGATGTTAGGGCCAAGTCTATTGTTGTTGGGGCCAGGTCCATTGCTAGGGCCAGTACCATTGTTGGAGCAAATGTCATTGCCTGACCCACTGGCATTGCTGGGCCCAGCACCACTATTGGAACCAGACGTGTAGTCCAAGCCAGTTCCATTTTGGAGCCTAGAGGTGTAGTCTGGATTAGTGTCATTGTTGGATTCAGCAGTACAGTTCTGAACAACATGACTGTCTAGGCCAGAGGCATCTCCTGAATTGTTAGTGTGTTTGTCTTCCTCAGAATCAGTACTATATTTGGAGTTGGCATTATTGTTAGTGGCATTATTAATGTTAGAGTCAGGTTCACTGTTGGAATCAGTTCCATTGTTAGAGTCACCATCACTGTTGGAATCAGCTCCACTTGTAGGGTCAGCATCACCACTGGGATCAGAACCATTATTTGTGCCTGCATCATTTTCAGCATTGCTATCTTTGGGATCAGTGTCATCAGGGTCAGACTTATCTTTGGGATCTTTCTTATCTTTGGTGTTGTTTTCATCTTCAGAGTCTATTTCATCTTCAGAATCTTTGTCATCTTCGGAGTCTGTCTCATCTTCACAGTCTGTGTCATCTTTGAGAAGAGGCTTGTCTTCGGCATTGGCCTTATCTTTGAGATTGCCAGCACTGACCAGTTTAGTCTCATTGTCAGGATTGGCCTCATTTTCAAGTTTGGCAATAAGGTTAAACTTGCCCTCACTTTTAAGGCTAGCAACATTGCTAGTGTTGATAACATTGTCTGGGTCAGGGGTATTATGGTGGGCCATGGTATTTTGAGGATTCAGGGGAAAGGTATGGGTAACAGTAGAGTCTATGAGATTTTGGAGAGCTGAGCAACTTTTACAAGGTAAATAAGTAGTCGAACCCAAGGAATATTTAGAATCCTCCTGGTGTAGAGGGCAGCGGATGTCCACAGGATGCTTAGGATCCAGGGATTGAGATAAAGGTCTGTTCTGAGAAGTCTTGCAGTGTTTAATAGATTTGGGGTTCAGAAAATATTTAGAATCCAAGGAAATTTGGAAATGTAAAGGACAGTCAGGGTCTGAATCATCATCAGAATTCATGAGACATTTATGAAAAGAATTATTGATTTCCATGAAACATTTGGAACATATTGGAGCTCCAGTGTGAGTCTTAAGGCATACAGCAGACCAAGGGCTCATGGAGGTGGGGTGGCAGGCGGGTGCTGAAACTTCAGAGGTGTAATCCTCAGCACTTAGGAGATGAATAGAATTCATCTGAAACCCAGAACTCTGAAAAGTCTGTTGGTATCTATAGTTCTTGCAACGACTCTTAGAGACAGAAATTTTGTAGCTGGCATTTCTGTGATGCTTGTTATCCATGAATGTGTTTCGGTCTGGATAAGGGTTGTGGCTGTGCTTTTCCTTTAACTTTGGCTGTGAGTCTTGCTTATGAGTGAGAGTTGGAGAAACCTCTTTGAATCTCACAATCTTGTCATCACTCAGGTATCTTATAAGTTGAATTCTGGAAACTGCAAGAGAGATAAGAGTAAAATATGAGCAAGAATAATGAAAAAGATAGTGAAGTTTGACTTTGACACTCACATTACAACACAAATCTTTGCAGAGGAAAAAATGCCATTTCCTTCAATAGGTTATTACTATTTTATATTTCAAAAGGAGGCCATGATCCTAAATTTTCTGCTCAAGCAGGTGTCACTTTGAGCTTATTAAGACACAAAAAATGAAACATAGTTATTTATCTCAGATTTTTATACTGTATCCCTAAATTGGTTAATATTTTATTCTGTGATCAGGAGTGAGGCACAACATTAAGAGTGAGATAAAAATGAAACAGCAGTATGCAGGCTGCTCTACAGAGACAGAGAACTTAAATTATAACCGAGAAAGTATCTCTTGTTTAATAAGCCTGAAGATGTATTTATGATTTCCAAAAGCAAATTAATATATTTCTATGCAAAAGGTAAAATAGAGCATTTATAATCATCAATTTATTTCTGTATTATAATCTGTAGCTGCAGAGTTTGGTGTGGCTACAGCACAGAATGCATAGGGTGTATAGTGGAGACCTCTGTCAGAGGTAATCTAAAACTTTTGCTCTTTTTATAACTTTTAGAGGAGGGGATAAAAATGAATAAATGACAATAAAGTAGAATCTTAATGACATTATCAGAGTAGAATAGCTTTGTTTCTATGCGATTTAGAAAACTCAATACGATGTGTTGAGAAGAGCATTGGTTTTGAGTCAAATAGCCTTGTTTGAAAATTTGATTCTGCCATGTATTAGTGATATGATTTGGGCAAGTTATACAACATTTACAAGCCCTAGTTTCTTCAGCCATAAAACAATTATAATAATATCTACTATTTAAAGTTATTATGAGGGTTAAATGAGATATTCAATAAATGTTAGGCATTTCTACCCTCCTAAGATAGGAGAGTATAGTATCGTTGAGATTGTTGGGATAGTTTTTTCCCCTTGTGCATCTTATAATATTAGTGACTAGTACTCAATTTTACACTATTCTGTTAATTCTCCTAATTTTCTGAAAGTTAGGAAAAACATGATTGTTCAATTATAAGGAGAAAACTTTTAGGTGTTTTTGATTTATATATATTTACAGTACTATTGCTCCAAGAAGTGCAATAGCTATTTTTTCCACACTCTTTCATAGAGTGAAAATAAAGCTTATCATAAAATATGTTGTTACTAGAAGTAGTATTTGTTTAAATATAATTTAAGGAAAAAGCTATCAAAACAGACTATGGGCACAGCAAGATTATGACTAATGCAGATTCCTGCAAAGCAACAATTATATTAATAATAATTGCTAAGAGATAACTTGAATTATATTTAATTGATACCTATGTCATTAACTTTGGAAAAAAGACTTGGTATTCACATGAAAGGAGATAACTGTATTCTATTTGGGTAGGTGAAAATACTAAGTCAGTAGTCTAGGCAAAGCAGAAAAGAGAAAAACTAAATAAAAGAGGTGTTTGCTAATTTCTTTTACATCAGTTAGGCATAGAGTTAGATATTAAACTTGAAGATAGTCTTAGTATAATGACAGCAATACTTTTACTGAAAGCTGTTCCATTCCCCAAATTTCCATGATTCTCAATTTTTTTGCTAAATGTTTTAATAAAACATCAATAAGTATATAATTTTATTATATATAAATCAGAATACTTGCATAATTGAGTTTTGCTTTTGTTGTTGTTGCTACAGCTGAACTTTTAAAATATCTTACTTCAAAAAAGTACACAAGAGGACTGATATCACTGAAAATGGAGGAGTAAAGGCACTTCAGTATTCAATCCCTCCACAAAGCAAGTAACGAGGTGGCAAAAGCTGTTAGAATCAACTTTTTCAGAACTCTGGAATCAAAAACTCACAAAAACCAGAGGAAAGCTTGATGAAGAAAGAGCTGTTGCTTTGTAATACAAGAGTGCAACAGAATTTTAAACTGTCCAACTACCATCTTCCATACCGCAGATCAGTGGTGGCAGTGAGGATGACAGCCTGCATTCACGGCGCAGGTTGCTAGTAGGAGAGGGAGCAATATATGCTTTATTCTCAAAGAATTGTAGCTGTAGGTTTGAACCTGTCTAGTAGCTCCCTGATGGCCTGTTGCAAGAACTTCCCTTTGTTTTGTCAAACTTGGAGCATTCCCATGGCTGGGCGACTTCCTGGACAGCTTTTGCTGAAAACATTTAAATGCACAAGTGTTGTCCACAGCAGCCTGGGGCAAGAAACGACAGTTTGGACAAGCAATAGGCAGACCAAAAAGCCTGAGAAGGAAGAGGTTGTACAGGGAGATACATGGGTGGAATAAGGGCTTTGAAAACTCCTACATATACTCAGGAATCAAAAAGGCTATATTCTGGGTCAAAGAAGAAATCAAAAGGGAAATTTAAAAAATGAAATGAAAATGGAAACACAACATAACAAAACCTACAGGATGTTGATGCTTCAAAAGCAGTTCTGAGAGGAAAGTTTATAGTGATAAATGCATATATTAAGAAATTAGAAGATCTTAAGTAAGCAATCTAACTTTATACCTCAATAAACTAGAAAAAATAAAGCACAAATTAAGCCCAAAGTTAGCCGAAGGAAGGAATTAATAAAGATCAGAGTGGAAATAAATTAAATAGAGACAACAATAACAGTAGAAAAGATCAACAAAACGAAGAGCTGATTTTTCAAAAAGATAACCAAAATTAACACACTTTAGCTAGGCTAATGCAGAAAAAAAAAGAGAACACTCAAATAAATAAAATAAAAATGAAACAGGAGACATTACAACTGATACTATAGAAATATATAGGATCATAAAAGACTACTATGAATAATTACATGCCGATAAATTAGATAACCTAGAACAAATGGATAATTTCCTAAAAACACACAACCTACCAAGACCGAATCAGGAAGAAATAGAATATCTGAACAGACCAATAATGAGTAAAGAGACTGAATCAGTCATCAAAAACCTCTCTACACAGAAAACCACAGGACCAGATCGCTTCACTGGGAAATTCTACCAAACATTTAAAGAAGTAATGCCAATCTTTCTCAAACTCTTCCAAAAATTTGAAGAGGAGAGAAGACTTCCAAAATCATTTTATGAGGCCAGACTTACCCTGATACAAATGCCAGATAAGGACACTACAGTAAAAGAAGATTATAGACCAATATCCCTGATGCATGAAGATATAAAAATTCTCAACAAAATATTGGCAAACCGAATAGAAGAATACAATAAAAGGATTATACACCATGACCACGCGAGATTTATCCATGGGATACAAGGAGGGTTCAACATACACAAATCAATAAATATGATAAACCACATCAATAGAATGAAAGACAAAAATCACATGATCATCTCAATAGATGCAGAAAAAAAGCATTTGACCAAATATAACATCCTTTCATGATAAAAACCCTCAACAAATTGGGTATAGAAGAAATATATCTCAACACAATAAAGGCCATATACAGCAAACCCACAGCTAACATTATACTCAAGAGTTAAAAATTGAAAGCTTTTCCTTTAAGACTAGGAAAAAGACAAGGATGCCCACTCTCACCACTCTTATTCAACATAGTACTGGAAGTCCTACCTAGAGCAATTAGGCAAAACAAACAGATAAAAGGCATCCAAATTGGAAAGGGAGAAGTAATAGGGTCATTATTTGTAGATGATATAATCTCATATATAGAAAATCCCAAAGACTCAACCAAAAACTCTTGGAACTGATCAACAAATTCAATAAAGTTGCAGGATATAAAATCAACATAGAGGAATCAGTTGCATTTCTATACACTAACAATGAGATATCTGAAAAAGAAATAAAGAACACTATCCCAGTCACAATAGCATAAAATAATAAAATATCTAGGAATAAATTTAACCAAGGAAGTGAATTATCTGTACAATAAAAATGACAAGACTTTGTTGAAAGCAACTGAAAAAGATACAAACAAATGGAAAGACATCCCAGTTCATGGAACAGAAGAATTAATATTGTTAAAATGTCCATGCTACCCAAAGCCATTCAACACAATCCCCATCAAAATTCCAACAGTATTTTTCACAGACATAGAAAAAATAATCCTGAAATTTGTATGGAACCAAAAAAGACCCTGGATAGCCAAAGCAATCATAAGAAAGAAGAACAAATCTGGAGGCATCACACATCCTGATTTCAAGCTATACTACAAAGCTATAGTAATTAAAATATGTTACTGCCATAAAAATAGACACATAGAACAATGGAACAGAATAAAGAGCCCGGAATTAAACCCACCAAATACGGTCAACTAATGTTCAACAAAGAGCCAAAAACACCCAATGAGGACAGGATAGTCTCTTCAACAAATGGTGCAGGGAAAACTGAATAACCACATGCAGAAAAATGAAACTGGACCTCTATCTTACAGCAATCACAAAAATTAACTCAAAATGGATCAAAGAATTAAACATAAGACCTGATACCATAAAACTCCTAGAATAAAGCATATGGAAAAAGTTCCTTGACATTGGTCTTGGCAATGATTTTTTGGATATGACACCAAAAGCACAAGCAACAAAAGCAAAAATCAATAAATGGGACTACACCAAACTTAAAAGCTTCTGCACAGCAAAAGAAACAATCAACAAAATGAAAATAAAACCTACAGAGTGGGAGAGAATATTTTCAAACAATATATTGGATAAGAGGTTAATATCCAAAATATATAAAGAACTCCTATAACTCAATAACAACAACAAAAATAAACAATCTGATTAAAAAACAGGCAGAGGAACTAAATAGACATTTTTCCAAAGAAGACATACAAACGGCCAACACGTACAAGAAAGATGCTCAACATCACTAATCATCAGGGAAATGCAAATCAAAACCACAATGAGATATCACATCACACCTGTTAGAATCGCTATTATCAAGAAGATGAGCAATAACAAGTATTGGTGAGGATGTGGAGAAAAGGAAACCCTTG